AACCCTGAGCCGGTGAGATTTGAACCGCTGACCTGCTGATCTAGCAGTAGCCTGCAGTGCTGCATTTAACCACTGGGCCACCTTGGCTCTTGCACAGTCTTGTAGTTATCCAGGAGCCAAGACACAAGCAGCTTTATAGATCAAAACTAGCACTTTTTAAGTTGTACCAACAAACCAATCAGCAACAGTGCAGGGTCTACAGAATTGGCATTATGTGTTCCTATTGTTGATTGCTAATAAATGTGCAGACTGCCACAATTATAGTTCCAAGTAGTCTTTAAGTGAAGCCTCAAAGACTATTTGGAATTATATGGTGATAGAGGACCTGGCTATAATGTCTATGCGGTAAATTGAGAATGAATTCTTATAGCTGGATCCTCCATTACTATATAAGATCAAAGAGGCCCACGAGTTGCAGCTGGGTATAGTCTCCATGGCTTCCACCTGCTGTTCAAACAGAAGCAGTGAGTCAAGAACTCCTACCCGCAAGTCATGAGTCTGGTTCCTTCACAAGCAGTACTTGCTCATCAAGAAATAAACACACTGAAGTACAAATAGTAACTCTATCTTACTTGGATTCAATTCCAGCCTGTACCTTTGGTTGCTCACAGCCTCTAGACTTTGCTGAAGTACAATAACAGCTATTCCTTACAGACTGGGGTAGCAATATTATAATTGGATACCATCAGCAAACTGATGATACTGTACTCAAAACTCTCTATAATTTCAACCAATAACTTCATAGATATGTTATACATTGCTACCCCAGGCTGTAAGTGATATCTGTTATTGTCCTTTAGCAGGGGAGAAATGACTGACCCTTTAAGCATTCACATTGGGGGCCACTGAACCAACATCTCTTCCCCCAATACACAGATTGAAACTATTTACCAAGAAAGGAGCAGAATAATTGTGAAACAATATATCCTATCCCTAAAACCCACAGGTGATCTAAAAAGGTAGAACTGTCAATGATATCAAAGGTTGCTGAAACACCCAGCAAGACCAGGATATTGATACACTACCTCCTTCCAGATCTTGGCACGGGTCATTGAAGAGATTGACTAATGATTGCTTTGGTCAATATCCAGGCTGAACCCAGATTAAGAAAGGGCTTGCGTAGCTCAATGAAGCGATGAGCTATGCCGTGCAGGCCCATCCAAGACGGAGAGATCATAGCAGAGAACTCTGATAAAACGTGTTCCATTGGAGAAGGAAATGGCAACCACTCCGGTATCTTTGCCATGAAAACCCCATGGACAGTACCAAAAGGACAGGAAGTCCTGGAGGAATGTTGTCGCGATGGGTCGGACACAACTTTGCAACTAACAACAATAATGCTCCCTTTCACTGTAACTCTGATTCTTCCACAACATTCTAAAACTTGCTTATATTTTTAGATTCTCTTACCCTGACTATTTTAAGCTTCTGACCAATTCTGGTTGCACTATAGTAATTTCTTCCATTCAAGCAATGCTATTGAAATAATAAATATTCACTTTTATATCCTACACAGGGATTCATTTTTGGTCCAAAACTGGCATTTTGCATCTATTTTTAATTTCATAGCTGAAATACTCATTATATGAGCATTTCAATTTTTTTTCTTTAAATTCCTCCACAACAAGTTTGTTTAGTTACTTGCAAGTTCTTCAAATAGTCACTTGAAAATTTTCATGGGCTACATGCCCTTTTGCAGAACCCGTTTAGAACTTTCTAGAGTTCACAGTTCAAGAAACAGACATAGCAGGGATAATGAGAACACTCTTCGTTGTAATAAGGGAGAATTAATAGTATCTTAAAAATCTGAAAGTTTGGCAGAACAAGAAAAAGAAGCAGGATCTTAATTTACTTATCATAGAAAACCCATCATGGACTGAAAAGAACAGAAGATTTTTTTCCCTTCAAATGATTACCTGCTAGATCAAGGCCAGTTGCCATTTCATCTAACTGAACCACAGAAAGGGGGAATCTTACCATTAAGTGCCTTATAGTCACTCTCTAACTCTAGAATTCAGAAGAGTTGATAAGGTAGAATTAAAAGTGTGTTAATCTTATGTTAATTTTAAAATTGTTAATTTAAGATCATAATCTACACATATAAACATATTTAGTTATGATGGTTAAAGACAAGCTGAAGGAATTTCACGAAAGTCATGGATAGTGGAGTAGGGCTTCCACCAAACAATATTGAAATTCTAGGAGGCTCTCCACAATGCCTAAATTACAAAGACCACAATGAAGAAATATCCTCTTTTAACCTGCTGAGTCACAAATAAATGTAATTTAGAAATTCTGCTTTTCATACCAGTCACTGTTCTTTTTACCACTAGATGAACTGCTTGTGGATCCAGCTCGATTGCGATTGCCTTTGGAATCACCGTAACTTTCCCTCCGACCACCAGGAGAAACACCTTCAGTTGAATTGGTTCTTTTAATAGTGCTAATAGAAAATAATAATATTGTAATGCTCTGAAATGAGGTTATTAGAAGGCTACTATCATAGCTTCCCACACTTCTATTTTCTCAAAGCTAATCATATTCAATTCCTTTATTTTTTTTTCACAGAATTTAGTATATAAATCTCCTTATAATTTTCAATGCATGCTTTTGAACTTGTTTTTATTTTTTCTGATTCTTTCTTGAAATGTGATATCTAAAACTGAACATCATAATTGAGGTGGAATCATATTCAATTAAAAAACTATTATTCCAAAATGTTTTTGCACATAGTATTACAAAGCATCCCACATTCTATCTTCGTACATTTGATTTTCATTTTCTAAGTTAAGAAATTTAGATTTGTCTTGTTGTACTGTGATTGAAACTCTTCCTTTGATGAAGAACAATAGGTGAAATAATGTTTAAGAATGATTTTTGACTATGTGCCCACTTAAATAACATACCATCCAACTCAATAGTTAATTAACTTGCTAATCAGCATGTCAAGCAAATATCAGTGTAGAAACAAAAGAAACAAAATTAAACCCTTCTAAATGTGAAATTACTCTGAGGGATGTATGAGAATTTACTTGAACAATTTTTCTCTTTTGCACTGATTTTTTTAACTACTGCCAAATAATGAAAAAGCTGATTTTATAAAGAATGACCATTGGCTGACCTGAAGAGTCCTTTTCTGTGCACTGCGGGAGAATCCAAGCAATGGGTTATATTAGTCTGGTTGCCCTAGGACTGAGGAATCTTTTTCATTGGCCACGCCTCCTGGTGCTCCTCAACACTAGATTTTTGATGAGTTCTGGAACCAGTGACGGCTTGAAGATGCACTGATGTAGTAGAAGGAAGTCCCATTTGACTTGATGGCTTCGAATCCCTGGACCCGAAGACCCAGGGTGGGTTGGACTCTCCCACAGTGCACAGAAAAGGACCCTTCAGGTAAGCCAATGGTCATTTTCCTGTGCACTGCTTGGAGAGTCCAAACAATGGGACATACCCAAGTTATATGTCACTAGGGCGGGAAGAAGGTCTGTCCTGGGATTTGGTCATGGAAACAACCCCCTGGAGAACCTGCCTGCCGAATGATGCCTTGGTTGAGGCAAACACGTCCAGTTTAGTTTCTGACAAAGGGCGATGGGGATGACCACGTAGCCGCTCTGCAGATGTCGTCTATAGAGGCCTGGGTTGCCCAGGCCGTGGTGGTGGCTGCGCTCCTTGTAGAATGAGCGGTGATGTGTCGAGGTACTGCTCTGGACTGGTGTTCATATGCAGCTGCGATACATGATCTCAGCCACCTGCCGATGGTAGAAGATGTTACTTTCTTTCCCATGGACCCGGCTGGAATGACACAAAGAGGGCCTTCGATCTAAGGAATTCTGTTGTCCTTTTGATTTATCTCCGCAGGGCTCATCTGACATCTAGCGTGTGCCAGACACGTTCCCTTGGGTGCCTGGGGCGCGGGGAAAACTTTGGTAAGATTACCTCTTGCGCCCTATGGAACCAGGCGTTAATCTTTGAGATGAAGGCAGTACAACTCTATCACGGATCGACAAGACCGCCAGTTCTGATATGTGCCTTGCAGATGTTATTCGATAACAAAAAACCTGTCTTTAGGGTGAGGTGAAGTAGTGTGCAGAAGTTCAAAGGGAGCTGAAGTGAGAGCCTGTAGGACCACCGATAACTGCCAGGTTGGGTACCAGTGAACCACGGAGGGTGTAAGTTGGAGGCACCCTTGAGGAAGCACCGAACCCTAGGTATCTTGCTGAGAGGCTGGGCCGGAGTCCCAGACCAAATGGTAGATAATGCAGCTACCTGGCGTCAGAGGGTGCTGGGAGCAAGTCTCTTGTCGAGGTCCTCCTGCAGAAAGTCCAATACATGGCAAACAGGTATTGTGACCGGATCAAGGTGGAAGTTGTCACACCATTTGGCGAAGGTGGACCATGTGGAATAGTAAATTCTGGTCGTCGACAGTCGCCTGGATGGTACGTATCACCTCCTCCGACAGGCCATCCCTCCTCAGGAGGTCCCCCTCAAGTACCAGACGGCCAACTGGAGCCACTGGGGATCTGGATGGACGATGACCCCCTGGCTGAGGGAGACCTGGCCCTAAGGGATTTGCCATGGGCTGGACACCGACAGGCTGACGAAGTCAGCGTACCAGGGCCTCCGGGGCTAGTGAGCTGCCACCAGCAGCACCTCCGCCCTCTCCGCAATGACTTTGCGGATTACTTGTGGTAGAGCGGGAGTAGGGGAAAAGCATACAACAGTTCTTGAAGTCACCTGCAGAGAAGGGCATCCGTCCCCTCCGCTCCCGGCAAGTGGAAGCGGCAGAAGAACCGTTGGTGCTGCATGTTCTCGCGGGTGGCAAACAAGTCGACTATTGGAGTGCCAAACCTTTTGGACAGCTGGTGGAACAGGACCGGGTACAGTCGCCACTCTGCATTGTCTAGGGTGGTCCTGCTCAACCAGTCTGCCCAGGTGTTGTCCACCCCAAGATGTGGTTGCAGTGTATGGATTCGACGTAACACTCCGCCACCCGCCCAGGGCCTCTGCCTCTGCCATGAGCTTCCTGGACCTCAAACTGCCCTGACAATTTATGTGCGCTTTGTGGCCACATTGTCTGTCATTAAGAGTACATGTTGATGCAAAATGGCCTGTTGAAAATGACGCAGGGTGAGTCTTGCTGCCCGCAGCTCTAGGAAGTTGATGTTGCAAGCCATTTTGGCTGGAGACCATTTGCCCTGAGTCACGCAATGTTTCATTTATGCACCCCAGCCGGCCAGGCTGGCGTCCATCGTGATGACCACTCTAGTTGGCTCCTTTAAGAGATGACCTTTGAGAAGAGCTGCTGCTCGCCACCATCTGAGGGGCCTCTTCATGGCCGGAGAAAGGCGGACCTCCATGGGGGAGTTGCTTCTGTTGGTTCTCTGATGAGGTAGGAGGAACCACTGCAACTCCCGGGAATGGAGACATACCCAGGGAACAACTGAGATACACAAAATCATCTTCCCTAGCAGTTGCGAGAGGAGCAGCACCGGAACTTGCCTCAACCCCTGAACCTTGTGGGCTAGGGAGACTAAGCTGTCTATCTTGTCCTGGGAGAGGAACACCCTGCAGTTGGAGGTGTCTATCACCGCCCCCAGGTGGAGGAGTTTGGTGGTTGGAGAGATGACTCTTTTCCAGGTTCAAGGAGAACCTGTGGTTCTGGAGAGACCTCATGGTGACCTGGAAGTACCGCAAGGCTTGTTTCCTGGATAACGACTGGATGAAAATGTTGTCCAAGTAACATTGTAGCCTTACAGGCCTGCGCCTGAGGTGCGCTGCGACTACTGACAGAATTTTTGTGAAGGTCCTGGCTGCCGACGACAGGCCAAATGGCAGAGCCATGTATTGATAGTGTCGGCCGGCATAAAAGAACTGCAGGAAACTTCGGTGTTGTGGCCAAATTGGGATGTGTAAATAAGCCTCCTTTAAGTCGATGGACGTTAGGAGGTCTCCTGGACAAATCCCTGCAAGGATGGTTTGCAGGGATTGCATCTTGAATCTCCTGTATGCTATGTAATGGTTCAGGTTCTTGAGGTCCAAGATTGCCCTCCACCCCCCTGAGCTCTTGGGGACCAGGAAGAGGATAGAATAGAATCCCCTCCCTTCCTGGTCGGACTATGACATTGATCTCTATGACATTGATCTCCAGGAGATGGTTTATCTCCTGGGTCATGAGATCCCTCTTGAGAGGGCAAGAGGGGGGGGGGCATCTTATGAAGTTCCTTGGGGATGTGACAGGAACTCCAGTGAGAGTCCCTCCCTGATGGTCTGCAGGACCCAAGCATCCTCCATAGTCTGTTCCCATTGGGAGACGAACAGATGAAGGTGTCCCCCTATGGGAGGTGACCTATGGTGGTCACTTGGATTTGCGGAAGGGCCTGTTGGAAGCGCCACCATGGCTGGGTCTCCGGTAGGAGAATTGTTACCTGCCCCTGTCCCGAAAGGACTGTCCTGGGGCCTATCTGTGGAGGTCTGATTGAAGGATTGATTGTTGAAAGTCAAACTGAAGGAGGAGTCATTAGACCAAAAGTTCTGCCTCCTATAATAGGGATTGGTCTTGCGATCCTGCTTTTTAGTAAGAGTAGGAAGAACCTTACGTTTGTCTTTAGATTCGATCCGGAAAGGATCTAAGACCTTCCCAAACAATTTTGACCCCTTGAAAGGAGCAGAAGCAAGCTTCCATTTAGCCTTCAGGTTGGCTTGCCAGTGGCAAAACCACAGGAGACGCTGGAGGTAACATTAGAAGCTAAAGCCCGAGAAGCGAATTTTGCCTGCATTAAGCGAGGCGTCAGGCAAGTACTGGGATGCTGTGATGATTTTGGTGACATCCTGGCCGAGATGCTTGTCTCCCGCCGGACGTTTAGGCTGCAGTTCCTGAAGCCAAATGATGGAAGCCCTGTTAAAGAAGGAGGCAGAAGAAGACGCCTTAATGGCCCAGGCTGCCACTTGATGGGTCTTGTGGCAGGCCTTTTCCGTCTTATCTTCCGCCTTGAGGCCTTCCATGAGGTCAGCCGGGAGAACAGAGTTGGATGTAAGGGCTGCTATTGGGGGGGGGGGTGTCTATGGAGGGTAGTGTCAATACAGCCTCCAGAGTAGCTTTTTGCCCCCACTGGGGGCAGCTAGGGAACCAGGCTGGACCATTGCCACTGGACTACGTCCATAAAGAGACTCAGTACTGGAACAAGATCCTGTGAAGGAGCCTGGACTTTAAACATGCTATCATTATGGTTGGAAACGGCCATTTCTGAATACCCTGGGGCAGCTGGGGCTTTGGCGCCCAGCTGGGTAATGGCCTTAGCCTTGTGTAGGATGGATTTGAACAATGTGGGCTTGAAGAGGCCAGGGTCCTGATCAGAGTCCTCCCCGGCAGACACTTCACTAGCCACGGAAGATGTCAAGGAAGGGTGACACACCCAGTGACTGGGGCCAGGTGTCTCCTTCCTG